AAGCATCAAGGCAACTGAATGTGCTGCACCAGGCCGCCTACCTGATGAACCCCAAGAAGGGTCAAACGGGTCGTGGGTTGTTGAGAATTATCCAGCAACCTTATGAGTAGTGTATTAGGTCTTGATAAGCACTTTAATCGGGAAGATAGTACCCATACAATATGTGGACCAATCATCCGACCGCTCAATAAACCGCCTGGTTGGGGGAGGGGCATCTAGGGGCCAAGGTGCAAGGTAGAATAACGAGTAACTGAGCTATTCACGGAAGAGAAAAATGTTCCAACAGTCTGAACCCACGGTCTTCAGTGGGAGTGACATTCCTTCCCTGGGGGTGGCTCCCCATGCGTTGGAGTGTATAGGCCACTCATAGGGTCAGTTAAGGCTTTCTGCAACAAAATCTGCTGGCCTTCAAAAAGAATGTGACACGTGATGATGTGGGATTAGCCGGCGCATTTGAATCTTCTTCGTTTAGGAGGCAGTGGAAAACGGAGACAGCCGGGAAATAATCCGATTTCAGATAGTGGGATGCTTTGTACCAAGGAACCCCTAATTTCCTGTCAGAAGTGCAGGAATATTTCCAGGGGTGTCAATCGATAAGGACGAAATGGGATCAAATACGGGGGGGGGGGGGAGCAAACAGCGCTACAAATGGTTCCTGGGGAAGCAAACTCCAAGATGACCAGTCGCAACTAGAGGAAATTTGATGGCGCGCTTTGTGTTTGGGGTGCTGCCTGCTTGCCAAACCCAGATATGTTTCTCCAAAATACACGAATCGTACCGGTAACCCGTTGGGGAGATGTGGTGGACGAGGCCTGCTTTCTGTGTCTAATCGCCCGGTCGAAACATAGCAGTTTGGATGATGACCTAAGATGGGTTATACCGCAGTGTACAAAACGCGACATTAATACGTTAGAAGTGTGACGTGTATTCGTGACCCCTGCATGGTATGTACACCATTTTCACTTGCTCAAACACGTAGAATGGGCCTGCTTCACAAAACTAATTCTTTGTGTGGATGTGACCCTTGACAAATGAGCTTTTTGCCTGGAGACAATGTTAGCGTCTCGGTTTGTTCGATTGGTAGTCGAATTGCTTGTAATTGGTTGGAGGGCGAGATGGTTCAGTGGTTAGAGCGCCAATTTGCTGACCGGAAGGTCCGTGGTTCGAACCCGACCTCTGTCTCTCGACGTCCCCTGTCTAGGCTTGGGCAACCTGGTAGTATCTCAGCCCTCGTGCTTCCTTCAGGTCGCATGGCAGTTAGGCACCGGAAGGGGGGTACAGCTGAACGATGTTTTTTTAAACTAACGATCTGATGGTAAATATTTCATTTCATCACTAGTTGCTGATGTCTTTCAGCTTTGTATAATTGTATAATTTTTGCGAACAATTCAACCATCGCTGCACTTTAACCTAGACAGCCGGTCTCTCAGCTTTGTACGACAGCCCTTCAAGGAAAAAACTTTTCTAGAATAAGGTGTTTATGGCTCCAGATGGCGTTTCATTGATCGATGTGTAGCTCCCCCCGAGAACTATCAGTCCCTTCAACGTAGGACTTCAAAGTGCAGAAAATACTGTGACGTCTACAGTCATGCGAACTGGAGTGCTTCGTGACTCTCACGTTTACCAAAGCAAGACTTTCCACTGGATAAAAAGTTATAGAACAAAAACCCCATCATTTCATTGCTCCACAACAGTCTGACTAATCAATAAATCAGTGCTCACCACTTGCGACACCATTGAACATACCAACAGCGAAGTCACACACCGTCTGCAAGACAAACATTTCACCAAAATAAGTCATACATCTGAATCTGTTTGAAATGTTTTTCCACACTTGTATGACGTAGTAACTATTGATCCGCTGCTTGGTTAGGTGATGAGCTCAGTGCATTGAAGTTAGGCATTGATCGCCTAAGTTTTGCGGGCTAGTGAAACAAATTCAGACACGTCTTCCTTCTTCTGCGTGACATCGAAACCAAAGGAAACGATTGATATGGCCAAGTTAGCCTTGTTTCCAAAACCACACGCGGATTTTTGAGTATTTTGAAAAGACAAGATGACCGCAACGTTTTTGATACACCGTACGTGTCACATCAACCAGGGATTTATGGATGACACCTCAGAATCGGAGAGATATGATAAACGTATGATTGTCAATGCACATAGTCTGAACGCCTGGAAAGGAGGCACGACCGATTTTTTGCCTGCGGGGCGGGTGTGAAGACAACTCAACTACTGACGGCGCCAACTCACAGTTGTGCTGACCTCGAACATCACTCATGCCCCATATACCCAACCAATGACCGGTACACGTGACTTCTCTTTTCGGCCAAGCGCTGAATCATCCAGCGACCAAAATGATCGATTTATGTTGACACAAACCAGCTGGGGAGTAGGTAGATAGTACGGAAATGAGAAGTCGGGTAAACGAGAAGAATCCTCGGGGGTAGAATCAAAGTTCCAGAATCCCGCTATAAACTTGAACCTATTGGTTCACATTTTTCTCTTGTCGTTAGCGATGCGTTCCTCAGTAGCGGTTTTTATTGATCCGGTTATCCTTCTGATAGTCAGCAGGATTTGCCCATCCCTCACCACCTAGTTTTTGTGACCAGTCTTTTCAGGGGTCACCGTAGATGTTTTTAGACTCTTCCACTTCAAACGGCTAGGTTTAAACTTGCTGCCAACCAGACAACTGTTTTTAGGGTTCGAGCAGTGCGTCAGAACTGTACGATCCCTCACAGATTTGTAGTTCACTGGCTTTACGACCATGTCGATCGGTAACTGCCGTTTTTCTGAAAGTCACAAGGCTTACGCTGAGTTGTCATCAAGAAAATACCGTAAGATGCCAGTCCGAAGCGCTTCACAATGTTTCCAAACCCCGCTGCGTGGGAAAGACAAGGAAAAACTCTGAAACACAGTCACTATAGCTACCGGAGCAGCAGTTCGTTTGTACTACTAACCGTTTTTAAGCATCATGCAATGTAAACTTTTGTATTCAGCCCCTGTTCATCAGTAGATAACATTTACTCTAAGACATTCGTTTAACTCATCCGTGATAAAATCAATAATAGTCTTTCACTCGCTCACCCCCGGAATGTCTTCATTCGGCCATAACTTTCTTTTCGTTGAGGTTACAGAACATTTTTAGGACAAAGATGGGGGCCCAAGAGAGAGATCGGGCACACACACAACAATGTAGCAAAATACTCGGTGAGTTTTGAGAGATGACTCGAAATTTGATGTTGGATTTGGGCAGGTCCGTCAGTCACTTCTCCTGTTCATCGTGGTCGTCCGCACCAGTGGACGAAGGGGTTTTGCGGTGCCATTCTGCTGGTGTGACCAGCGGACATGTATCTGGTCAGCAGGGTGTGCAAAATACATTAGCCTGAAAGGTTAGTCCCTAAGAGGTGTTGGGCGAATCTTGTGTGCCATTCATTCTACTGCACAGTGCCCTAGGCGAGTTACGGTGCGTGAGCTGGAAACGATGAGTTTAGCTCACTGATGTGGTCGTGAATGATGACAGATTTATAGGAGAAGTCAACATGGTGAGGCAAACTGATTCTCAGTAATCCCCAATTTGGGCAACAAAACATTGCTCTCATGTATGACTTGAAAAAAGTCCCGGGTAATGGTCTCAATGTGAGATGCCATACTAGAGAGGGGTTCTTTGCACGGAGGTTGATTAAACTGACAGACTGATATAGCAGTCAGCAGTCCTCATTTAAAAGTTCACAAATAGAGGAATGAGGGTGGAAACTTAAACACAGTGCATTCGCATTGCCCCCCCCCGTCAGCAGTCCTCATTTAAAAGTTCACAAATAGAGGAATGAGGGTGGAAACTTAAACACAGTGCATTCGCATTAGCCCCCCCCCAAGCAAACCGTGACCTCCGAACTTAATCGTTTCCCTCGTGTCATGGCTTACTGATTTTTTTTGGAAACCGCACCCACGGTGCGGTCACGCAATACATTCTTGCCGGCCAGTTTCCGAACACAAAAGTGAACAGAGCCACTGGATCCACTCTCACCCAAGTCGACAATATCACAGAATTTTTGAAACAGAAATGCTGTATCTCCAAGACGTCTAAAACGACCAAAAGCCGCTCTACAATTGAGGTAATTTCAGCTGCTTGGAAGGCGACTTTCTCAATTACATTCAACAGTTCATCTGAATTACTCTGTCAGTATACTTTTAAACTGACACTTTTCACTCATCTTGGGGTAGGAGAACCTTGAAGACACCTGACTGAACAACAAAACGGAAAGGCTTTCGAAGAGGTTGGAACTGGCCAAAACTGGTGAAGCCTCACTGCTCAGCGTCGGTCAACCCGGCTAGACATCAAAAAGTTGTATTTTTCCAAACTCAACATAGGGGTTCACAGCGTGCCAGAGAACCGTCTTGACGGAGCCATTCAGAAAACACGTGTGACTCTTTGGTGAAGAGTGTTTTCCGAATCCGGTTGGGATTGCGCTTTTGATCGTCTGAGCTAGTCGGTCAACTTCGTACTCAGTCTACTTAACGAGACACCCACCTCATGCAGGCACTAGCCGCTCCGATAGAGAAATTCACCGGAACAAAGTTAGGAAAACCATAATTCCACAGTTTGTGGTCATCCTGACAATCAGGTACCGCCTTTCCTCAAAAACGCGCGGAAACAGCAAGGTTACGCTCGACTCTTTTGCCAAGCCCACAGCAAATAGGACGGGATGATTATGACAAGCCAACCAGAACAAAAATTTAGTGTCGGTTTAGCACCAGCTGGATCGATATCCTGACAGCTTGTCTGGTTTCCAACTATCTGAGGTACCGCAAGAAGTAGGAGAACTGTTGTGGGCTGTCGAAGAGTTTTCAGCAGCCTTGTGAGTAGTGTGTGTGAGAAATTTGTCTATAACTGTTTTTCACCTCACAGTTTCTGTCACACTCTCCCGGGCCTAAACGTACAGCTATTGGTGAAGACATATTAGTGGCGATATTAGGTTTGAATTTTTTTTACCACATTTCAAAGTAGTTTTAAAATAATGAATTGTTCAATTTTCCCCTTAAAATGTCTAGTCACAAAAGCCGAAAATCCAGATTTATCACTTCGCTCTTTGGACAGTAGTTACATACATTTTGTTCAGCTGTAACACCATTTCGGTGCCTAAGTGTCATGCCACCAGAAGGAAGCACGAAGGCTGGGATACTGTCAAGTTGCCCAAGCCTAGACAGGAGAAGTCGAGAGGCAGAGGTCGGGTTCGAACCGTGGACTTTCCGCTCAGTAAATTCGCGCTCTAACCACTTGAGCCACCTCACCCCTACATACTTTTTACCTGGGTGTCGATGGAATACACTGACTTTGAACCGCCGTCACCAAACTTGATGTGCGGTTCTGATGAGCCCGGGGTCGAGCCTACGATGTGGACTTACGATAGCACTGAACTGGTGCAAGAAACCGTTCAGCGGAGGTGGCTTCGGGTCATTTTTATCAAACACTGTAGTTATACACAAAATACCCTTCTGATACTTACCCATTGCAACACATTCATCAGTGAGAACCTCGGCACCCCAGTTCCTAACTCCTACTTACCGTCGAGCTGGAATGCCCGCAATGCTCACACATACGTTGGTAAGTAAACCCTAATCTTCATTCGACCGCGGTCTTCTTTGAGAATAATTCATACAGACAGTATTGTCCTCAATCGGAACAAGGCTACGTGAGCATAATTCACATGTACAGGCTGAGTACTCGGTTCGAACTGGCTGAGTACTCGTCACTCACGCGGAGCCCAACTGATAGACGATCAAATTTCAATCGCCGGCATAGCCATGACTGCGTCTGGTAATAACGAAGCTAACTAAGTGGAAAGCAATGACATAGCCTCGTCAGAGTTCCAGGTAGTATGGTGGTTGATGTACCGATGAAGGATCCGTGGTTCTTTCGCTCAGCGGTTCCCGTGTAGTCTTAGGGCACTCGGAAGTATCCCAACACTGGTACTTCCCCCGAGTCGCCTGGAAGCTATGCACCAAAAGAATTCCACAGTTGTTAACTTGTTGTTGACCTTATCGGATAGATTTCTGGTTGATCGAAGCAAAACACACTCTGTTTAAGATTTGCTGCTCTTAGTGGTCACAAAATGAAGAAGATTATTGCGATAGCGCGTTTTCGAGGCAAAACTGCCCGAATTACAACCGTTCATCAGTCTTCCGATGAGCGAGCGCCCATCACAAACTTGGTGCAGCTGAATGGTCGGTCCGTCCGGTACTCTGCTCACACTGATCGACGAACCAAACGTGTTGCGACGTGAATATGGTCGGTCCATCATGCCAAGTTGACTGAGTGCGGCGTCATGACAACAATGGTTTTCGCTCATCATCCGTTTTTCGCACATTTTACTGGATAGTGTAGAGCGTGGGTTAGAACGAGGCCATCTGTTCGAGAGGTGGGCACTTTGTTACACATGCCAGCTGGATTGGAGCCCCAGAGATTCCATAAAAAGCAGAGACCCGTATTTGGGGCAGTAGGTTTAAGCCAAGCCGGGCGAGATTGTCGCAAACAGGGACCTGAAGCTATCAACTGGAAATAGAGGTAATGTACTTTGGGTGTGGGCTTTAGTCGCCCCCTTGGCTCAATCGCCGCTTCACAAAAAATCAAACTGGGACCTTCTTGGTGGAAAACCCTCTTGCTGAAAACTTTTCGACAGTCTACGACCGCTTTCGCCCTATTCAGCATGCACTGACATTGAAGTTATCATCGGAGAGGAACACCTTGCAAAAGGGATGGACAATCATCGATTCCATGTAATGAGTACTGATGTCGCTCACACTACCACTCACCTATGATAAAGTCGTCCGGCAAACCTCAGCTGCAGGTTGTGTCGGGCTCTTCGACAACCCACGACCGGTTCTGCCCTTCTTGGGGCTCATCAATTAGGCACGGTCTCCGTCAACCTTGTGTTCTACTTGAACCCGAGTTGGACAGACCTCGACAAATGCACTAATTTGCATATCAACTGTGTTTTTAAGGGAGACTCAACTGAATCACTCGTTTATGATGTTTCTACCCAACTGAATGTGTTGCACCAGGCCGCGTCATGTTTCAGCTGATACGATTCTGAGATATCGCGGTATATTTTCATAAACAACTGAAACTGAAAGCCATTGGCTAAATGCAATCACTCGCACATTTCAACAGGAGACTCAGCTAACTCCCAGCCTAATCTCTCGTCTATAGGCCGTCCAAGTGTTTTCAACATCATTATGAGTAGTGTGATGCTTCCACCCCGGGGATTTCTGTAGATTTGAGGTGTTCGTCTTCCTTCGGCCTTGCCTTAACTTTTCATAGTCACATCACTCGCATTTGAACGGTCGTCCTCCTGTTCTGACGTAATTATTCCAGTGAGTCCACACCAAACGGGGGAAGCACTGGACTCGATTTTCGTTCTGCACGTGTTGGCCTGTTCAGACGTGAAAATTCAGATGTGTCCAACGTGCGTTGGTGGAGTAGTGGTAACACGCTCGCTTCGCATGTCAGACGTCCGGGGTTCGAATCCCGGCACGGCCATTGGATATGCACTGCTGGTGAGCTCTCATGAGAGCGAAACTCGAGTCCAGTGCTTCCCCCGTTTGGTTTGGACTCACCGAAATAATTACTTCAGAACAGGAGGACGACTGTTCAAATGTGAGTGGTGTGACTATGAACGAAATATCTATTCCGCAAAATCCTAAACTGCAACTTGCGGACGAAATATCTATCCCGCAAAATCCCAAACTGCAACTTGCCTTAATTCTGTGATAGCAGCTCATACCATCAACACTCAAATGGCGTTGGTTCCTGCTCAACATTTCAGCTATGCTAACGGATGGTCGGTAGCAGTGCTTCTAATGGAAGGAACGGTGATGACCGCTCACGCGTAACTTTCGAAGATCATCGTTAAAGGGAACAGCACACTTGGGTTGTAAGTTCTTTAGTTGTCAACAATAACGGCTGCGAATTTTTAATGGCCATCTGTTGGATCACCTGTCCAACTTGTTACTATTAGAATTTCATGCTAACTCCTCTCGGAAAACGAATCGTGCTTTCCAAGTTCTCTCATCTAAGTGAGGTCAACCTACGCTGAAAAGCTGCGAAGCAGTGCTGGAGACAGGGATTACCAGCAAGGTGAATGTGACGAATCTTTACGGAGCTTCAACCTTGGCTAGTAGCTGAAGACCCTACCGTTGGGCCACGAGTGACTCATCACAGTGTGACTAACTCGTATTTGGACAGACTGCAGCTCGCCTATCCTCCAATCAAAAGTCTACATGGTCACGTGACTGATCGAGTGATGACTAGTCAAACGGAAGACCCGTTGAATTTGTGTGGCTTTTTCCTTTCTGAGCAGGCTAAAACCGATCGGTTGGTTAGCGAATATACACTCATTTGCAAAGTAAGTTGGCTTTGCGAGATACTTATCCGGAACCCAGCTGAGTTAGAACCAAACAGCAGAGTTGCCATTCGTTGGGATTCACGTGACTTCCCCGTGAAAATTAAATTGCTAAGAATATGAGTGTATTCTTCGAACTTCGCTCAATTTAGGTTCAAGTAGAACACAAGAATGACGGAAACCTGGAGACTGTGCCTACCTGATGAGCCCGAACTGGAAGGGCGAAATCGGTGGTGGGCTGTCGAAGAGTTTTTAGCAACCTTATGAATAGTACATTACAAATGTATACGATTGGTTGGTTTCGATGTCATCCGATTGACCAACTTGGAGTTGAATTGATCAGGTCGTGATAAGTAGGATGTTACGAAACTAAGCGTTTGGCTCGGGTTAACGCGAATTTTTCTCTTTTTTCTCAAACCGTGCTGGTAGCGAATTCTGCCGTTTGGACTATCCAGGTCACACATCTCTCATTCGCCCATCTTCCTTTTGGATGTGCTTCCTAGTCAACTTGGGGAACTACTCAATTTTGAATGGAGATTAGAGTTTTTAGCAACCTTATGAATAGTACATTACAAATGTATACGATTGGTTGGTTTCGATGTCATCCGATTGACCAACTTGGAGTTGAATTGATCAGGTCGTGATAAGTAGGATGTTACGAAACTAAGCGTTTGGCTCGGGTTAACGCGAATTTTTCTCTTTTTTCTCAAACCGTGCTGGTAGCGAATTCTGCCGTTTGGACTATCCAGGTCACACATCTCTCATTCGCCCATCTTCCTTTTGGATGTGCTTCCTAGTCAACTTGGGGAACTACTCAATTTTGAATGGAGATTACTTCGAAGTGCTTGGTTTTCTTATCTCCTTTCCCAAAAGGATTGGTCAGTTGGTATTTGCCGGTTCTTTTTCGGCACAGGTGATCCTCTCATTTGTTACCGATAACGAATGATCATGCGTCGCATTCCAGCTGAGTGAGACAAACTACTGTAGGACTGATCTGTGAGTATTAATCCTGATCAGCAACACATTATTTTTGGTCGTGCGGTATCCATGATGAAATTGGCAAGAATCGTATATAACGAGTGTGGATTCGATCAACAAAATGGTCTGACTAACGCTTCGCCCCGTTTCATTGCGCAGCATCATGCTTTGAGAGTGTCGTTCCAGGTTGAACAATGAAAAACAAAGTCATGAGGAGATGTGTGGCTTTAAGGCATTTCGCATAGTCACTTGCAGCACTACCACCAAAGCATCTGTGTCCCCCTTTCATTTCCCACGACAGTTTTTAGCCCAGAGCTCACTTTAGGCAACCGTGGGGAAGAGCGCGAAATGTATGGAAGGCGCTTGGATAGTAGTTCCCCAGTTCCGGTTGAAACTCTTCGAGAGCTCATGTTACGCAACCGTGGGGAAGGGAGCGAAAAGTATGCAGGGCGTTTGGATAGTAGTTCCTCAGTTCCGGTTGAAACTCTTCGATAACTTCCTGGTCAGGTGTGAATTGGCTACACGAGGTGGGTGTCATAATAACTGTTATATCGGTCTGCTGTTCCTGCTCCAGTGCCTCTTGTCAGAAAAGAACCCACCGACAAGCGCACACAACAGCTTTATTACAAACAAGTGAGTGCGAAAGTTACAACAGCCTCGTGCTATTTAAAGGGCAATTTCTGATATTGATCTTGACTGTCTAGACTGTCAACATCGATCGTTCTTCTTTGAGATTCCTGAACGCTGATCACATTCGGTCATGCTTCTGTGGCGTGCCTGAACACTCATCAGTTTTGCCGAACGGATTGAATGATTGACAGGCCTGGATGCTTGCCGGCTTTCCTATTGAGATTTTGGTGAAGTTTCGTGTATCAGTAGGTCCTGAGTGTTCTGGAGTTACTTTCAGAAACTTAACTTTCCTAATAGTAGCAATCGTTTGGGCGGTGGAAGAGACATTCTATCGTTCTGGCCACTTCCTAGACAAGTATCTACTTCTCGTAGGTGGCTCCTGACAGTCTAGCTACGAAGAATACACCGTTGTCTTTCAGTGAACAGCCGGGATGTTTAGTCTTCCATAAATGAGAATAAATGAGGTTGGTTGCTGTCTCAGACCCGTTTGGAGATGAGCACTTAAAGGTGGAATGGTACAGATAACTTACGATGTTGTGACAAATGCACTCATTTGCAAATCAATTTGGTTTTTACGGGTGACTCACGTGAATCTCTCGTCTATAATGTTCTTCAACTGAATGTGCTGCACAAAGACAGCCTCACGTTTCATTTGTGGCATTATTCGAGATATAGCAGTACATTTTCATAAAGGAAATTACCCACAAGGTCACTAAAAACTCTTCGACAGCCCACGACCATTTTCGTCCTTCTTGGGGCTCATCAGACCGCAATCAGTCCGATTTGGGTTCAAGTAGAACATGAGGTTGACGGAAACTCGTGGACTGCGCCTACCTGACGAGCCCCAAGAAGGGCGAAACCATACGATGTTTTTTAGCCATAGAAGCATGTTCATTGAGACGCCATCGAAAAGATGGCGAACTGTTAAGTAGAGTAACGATCATTTTTACGAACAAACCGGAATAGCTTACTGTATTAACGCCGGTGTCATTAGGTTATCATTAACCGAGGTTAAAGGAAACTGGACGTATAAATTACAACCGAGGGTTTTGTGGTGGAAGTTGAGAGTAAGGACTAAAGGTGCTCATACTGATGGGGAATTGTGATAAAGGTCAGAGTGAGGCAGACAACATGTATTGTTTAGCCGTAGCACCATTCCGGCGCCTAACTGCCATGCCACCCGAAGGTTGNTTATGCCACGTGAAGGAGACACGAGGGCTGGGATACTGTCAGGTTGCCCAAGCTTAGACGGGGGAAGTCGAGATGACGAGGTCAGATTCGAACCACGGACCTTCCGGTCAGTAAATTCGCGCTCTAACCACTTGGACCATCTCGCCCCGGCAGACAGCGTAGATTACAAACGAGTTTGCATGAAGGGGCGTTGCAACCACACACATGATCGTGGACACGTACGCTAACCGGGCGTAGACAGGGGTTAAAACGAATAGGAATTCACTCGGACTGCGCCTGAATGACTGAATGCCCACCTGAAAATCTGGGCTTTCAAGAAGTTTAATTAAGGAGCCAAACTCAGACCAGGTGGATTCGATGCAATTACCTGTGAATAGAGTGTTCCGGGGTTTTGATCTGTCTAACTACCATGGTGACCATTGAACTTGAACATTTAAAACGGACGAGGCATACTCAAGTTTATCGATCTGGGGAGGGACTATCGTCTCCCGTGGAGCATTGGTGGCTGACACGCCAAATTTAGGAGGGTGGCTTTGTCCACCTGGTCTAAGGGACAACGAAGACAGATGTTACAGTTCTTGGGCGACGAACTGACGGCTCTTCCGCGGCTGTTTGAAGCCACTTCCAAATCGTGGAAGTAAACCTATTCCACATGGGTTTATGAAACACCTGTATGGTAGGTTCTTAGCTGCTCAGTCGAACTGTTCATTCGGCTTGACAAATCCTCTGCAAACTTTCAGTAATATGTTGTGTAACCAAGCTGTTAGGTGCATACAAACCCACAGGTGTGGCCCACCACTGAAACCGATGAAGTCACCTCAGTTGGTGGTGAAACCACATCTATCCGTAAAATAAACAATGTCAGCTACCTTTGCCGATTGAAATAGCTGTTAATTGGATATGTGAAGCGCAAGATCGTGTTCGACCCCCGTGTTCGTACAGTACCTGGTCACCAATAAGCCTCGGATAATGAATGACGCTGGTCGAGCTCGTTCAGCTGACCTCTAATCAATGTTTGTCTGGTTAGTGTCTCATGTCAAGATGGCCCAAGTGGTTAGAGCGCGAATTTACTGACCGGAAGGTCCGTGGTTCGAATCTGACCTCGTCATCTCGACTTCCCCCGTCTAAGCTTGGGCAACCTGACAGTATCCCAGCCCTCGTGTCTCCTTCACGTGGCATAACAGTTAGGCGTCGAAAAATTGCCCGGATCAGTGATATTGCCGTAACATTTACTCAGTTTAGTGTGGGCATGATGAAATCCCAAGCCCCCTACTGTTACGTCACGTCATGATTCGGCATACCGCACAGTTATCTGTACTCGGTACGTTGAACACCGACATTTTATGGATATTTTTCTATTCATTACTGACAAACTGCAGATGATTTTGGTGGCTACTTGAATGAATTGATTTCCACAGATCAGAATCAGGTTACTGGTATACTCCGTGTAACAAACAAACAACGTATTATTAACCAAAAGTTCTGAACAAAAAACGAGCGTTTATCTCCTTCCTATAGGTGAGAAAATTGCTCAGAAAAGTGATCCATGTGCCAATCAGCCATGTGCGAACAACGGGACGTGTATTTTGGTTGATGAAGCCGGTGTTTGGATCGATTCCTCTCTGAATGAACCGACAAACGCGTTTGATTACAAGTGTCTTTGCGGCAACGGATGGACTGGAAAGAATTGCACGGTAGACGTGAATGATTGTATCCAAGACCCATGCAAGAACGGCGGTGTCTGTGAGGACCGGCCCGACATGCGCTATGCGTGTCATTGTGCTCCTGGGTTTGTTGGTAAGTCTTTGTAGATTTTTAAAGAACCGCTCAGCGTGCCGAAATTCTTATCAGGCCAGGAAATTCTCATGACCTTGTGCCAATCAAATCTCGCCTGTCAAACCGAGCCTCATCACAGTTCACTTTGGTTCTCACACACAAAAGCTGTTTTCAAAGTCATTCGATTTGGAATACAGAAGCTGAGTAGTGCACTAAGCCGATTAATGACTTATATCGCCACGTCGTTCAACCCCTCTCTATGAAGTTACGTTATAATAAAACTGAATACAAAACGGTTGTAAGTCCAGCTCGCAAGTCAGTGCAAGCAATATTACCGTATGGTTTCCATGGTGTCTGCTTCGATGACCGTCTTTAGGTCCAAGGTACCACTTACTTGGAGAGGTATTTTTCTTTAGAATGGCTGGTTGTAACTCATTGGCGATGTGGGTGCTTGAATTTCCGCTTTGGTGGTACATCAGTTGCTTCAAACCCGTAGAGAAATAGAGAAACATTTTTCTAGGGACCCAAGCGTTGTTTGAGGTAGCTCAGCTCGGTTAAGAACGAAACTTACTATCTGAAAGGCCCGTGGTTCGAACCCGATCTCCCCGTCTGGATTGCCCATGTCTAGGCTTGAACAATCCGAAAGTCCTTGGGTGGCAAGACCGGTAGGCACCGAAGAGATGGTACAGCTGGATGATCGATCAATCGACCCAAATGCTTGTACACAGCCAGTTAAACGGATTGTAACCTGTCATCATCACCATTGGTTGTTGATCAGTTGACTGTTGATTTGTCCGCTGAGCTTGGTAATAAAATAGCAACAGCATATCACTGATATTCATCATCATCAACATCGTCATCATATCGTCATGATGATGATCATCATCGCCATTATCACCATCACCATCATCTTCATCATCATAATCACTATCACCATCATCACCATCATCAACATCATCATCATCATCATCATCATCATCATCATCGTCATCATCATCATCATCATTGTTAGCTGTAAAAACCGCGTACTTGTCGTACAGTGGTTGTAGCTCCCACACTTTCGTTTGTCGATGATTCGGGAAGATGGGGTAGGTGGCTGCGCATTGGAAGCGGAAGTTGATAAATTAGTGCGTAAATATAGCACTGTAGGTGGACTGTAAGTGGGAGATTGGGAAGTAAGCTATGCATTGAAGGCAATAGCTTGGATGCACGGCGCCATTGA